GAGCATGTTCTAGTACACCCCCAAAACAAAATCAAGACTTTGTAAAAGAACATAATAGGACCCCTTTGATATCATGAGAGCTGTTAAATGTTGCAGAACGGATCATTCAAATCAGTTGTGTGAAACGGATTAAAGATTAATTGAAGAAAAAAAGAAGCGATAAATGATGACAACTTTGGTATTTTATGGAAGAACATCATGTTTTGTTTTTTTTTAATTTCCCCATCTAGAAGCAAGAGACCTTCTATAAGCTAACTTCCCATTTACTACGTTTACATTTGATGTACACTACCTTTTCTTTAACACAAAAACTGGTGCAAAACACTCATGTTTACGATAATCTGTGAGCAGGAAAAGGAGAAGCAGGGCTAATATGGCACATTCATATGAGAACAAGAGGTAATTGTGAATCAACTAACCTCAACTGAAGTCTCAAGTATTAATATATGACAGACTGAGTCTGATAAACTAATTCCACCATGTAATGAAACAAAAACATAATAAACATTCAGTGTGAATGTTCAATGTATATTGTCGATTTATTACTATCAGGCTAGTCACAGAGGTTTGTCATCACAAAGTGCTGGATTGGAACAGATTTATTGTAACAACTCGTACCTGTAAAACACTGTTCCTTTGTTCAGATAACAAGTAACAGTGAAAGCCCCATATTGCACCTGTTTGGTACACGTGCCCAAGCGATCATCAAAATTAAGGTCTTTGTCCCACACCTCCAGCTTCAAGGTTTCATTTGCTTTGCAGTTTGGGAAGTTGAACTCTGCAGACCATGTAGGATGAGCAGTATCCTTGCGATATTCTGTTTGGCCCCCAAAAGCAGAGCCACACCAGACCTTGAGGTATGGATCAGGTTTGTTTCCAGCAGGGTCACCGGTGAGGTCCCTGGCGTGTAAGCCAAACACCCGAACAGTAGCACTGGCAAAGTCCAGCTGAGACACCAGCATCAACACAGCCAGAGACACCAGCCGAAGATGATAAAAGACTGCCATAGCTTTCAGAAAGAATGCATGTTCATTTATGAAAATGCAACAAACAAATATTAAATGTGTAAATGATTAAGTGTTAAAGACACCTTACCTCACTTGTATTAGAGTCCATATGAATGCTTCCTGATCCTCATCCCCTTTATAAAGCCAATTCAACCTTAAAAATCTGATCAACAGGTGGTTAAATCCCATGCTTATCTGTGTTAACTATTATTATGAAACACAGCGGCCTATTTACTGTACATTTGCCAATAGTGTGCAAAACTGCATTCTAAGAAATCATATAGAACCACTGCAATAAAAGCATTTTAACAATTTACTGTCCTGACCATATAAAGTAATATACTATATATATATTTCATACTAGGTATAGTTCAAATCTATAAACCCATTTACTGACATGTTGCTCGAGATTTACTGATATGAAAACTATTATTAAACTTTATTTGGAGTACTTCATGTGCACAATGCACATTTCTTAATATTAAGCCTACAATGTGTTTTAATATAACTATTGATGAGGATTGTATGATCTTTAAATAATATGTTTTTAAATGCAAGATATTTAAAGTGTACCACTTGCAATAGTTCCACTTTAGCACAATCAAATATACTTCAGTATATCTTTAGTTGGATTTTAGCACTACTTCCGCACAATTAAAGTGCATTAAGCACAAAATTAGTTTTTTCCAATTTAGCAGACTTAAAGTATATACCAGTTTAGTATACTAAAAGTACAATTGCAGGGTATTTTTATTAAGAACATATGTAAATGCATTTGTAGTATACTTGGCACAAAACAAATGCATTTTTAATACATTTATTTTTCACTAGGGAGCAACAACAACAGTCTCATTTCATTAGTTGCTGGTCTGGTTCGAAATCCAATGTCATCAATATGAAGCAGAGAGTCTTGCTCAAGAACAAGACACGTAGTTCACATACACATGTGAAAGAACAGGTGGTCATTACACTTTTGTCATAGTAACAAGGAATGAATGAAGATTTAGGGACCTCCAAACCTACACCTTTACACTCAAGTAATTCACATCAATGTTATCTTGCACCATTTCACACAAAACTATTTGTTTACAGTATTCTCTTTCCACATCAGATGCAGGTTGACTATGAACAGATGGACAAATGATTAAAGAACATACTGTATATGACACACTGAAGGTGGGCACGAATAATGTAATAATACTTACATAATGTAAGTATCAAAACCCAGTTTAATCAGTTCTCTAAAAAAAATATTATTACCATGGGCAGATATAAACCTGCAATTCTAAAAGTGTGAGTGCGTCACTCACTTTCAAATAGGATCACAACCAGATGAAGATTTAGTTAAATGCACTTTAGTATCATTAAATCTCATCAGCTCTATTGCTCTGAACTGCATTATAAGGAATCCAGCATCCATTGAGAATTGAGAAGCAGAGGCAAGCTTAATTTATTTAAATGACTTTTATTAAGTTTACAAATAGGGTAACAAATGCTGTTTTATTGGAGCGCAAAGCTCAGTTTTATATGAAGCTTGAACATCCTATACTTAGTGCAAAACATACAGTTAAACATTGCCGATGATTCCCTACATGTTTTTGTTTGGTTTTCATTTTAATAACTCTTTTAACATTTTGTATAATATCATACGGAGAAAAAAAAAACACTGAATTAAAGTCACCAGAGGAAATCTAGAGACTCAAAAGACAGCAAAACAAGCGGATCAGATAGCAGTACAAAACAAAATAACTTAATGACAGCTCAGTAGCATTAAGTAAACATTGTTCTGTTGTATTTCTTTCCACAGGAGAGCGACTAGTAAGGAGGGATTCATTCAATAAGATAGTTTTGAGTAGGTTTGTGTGCATTTTTTCTGTGTAACTGAAGTCTCATGCAAAAAGAAAGAAAAAATACATTTTATAGTTTTTTTCCCATCATAAACTGAATGTCTAGCGATACTGAATGGCTCGTTCGTACATCAGCACGCTACAAACAAATGTTTTTTTCAAAGCAAAGAAAAAGGAATTTTTTTTTATTTCCCAAGGTGCTGTATCATTTACATCAGAGGTCAGAGGTGAATCTCGTTTAATGTTGTAGTCCTGCACTGCAGTTACATTAGCACCCTCTACAGTCAAACGGGGGGACCCGTTTCTTATAGCGAGAGCAAATGAACACTTACGTCATATCTGGAACAGGGACATGGCACTCAGAAGGTACTATTTCATTAGTCTGAACACTGAGCAGGTTGGACCTCTTTGTTAAAGACCTTTTGATGTGTTCACAGTTTGAACAAACCGAGCGACGTAAAGTGGGTAAAAACGAGCTGTCTACAGGTAAAGCGTTGTGTACAAAGCAAGAGATAAAGGTAAAACGATCAGATTTTGAATATAGAGAGCCAGTTGAGAATCTAAACTGTACAGTTGACCTAAAGTGAAGTTCCTGTACTAGACGTTTCACGCAGACGGCACACTAAGCAGTATGTAACGAGTTGTAATCTAAGTCCTTTCAGTAGTTAAGGTGATGAGAGCATCTCCACTATGTTTTTGTACCCCAAATAAAATGCTCTAAGGATCTGTACATTTGTTTCTGGTGGATCAGGACTGTTCTCTATTCATCTGCACAGTCGAATGTGCTAAAAGGTAGTTTGACACTGCAGGTCTAGTATTTTGAATAAACCAAAGCATTTACAAGAGTGATTTGACTGACTGCTACAAAAAGAGAGAGAGTGCGATCCTCCGAAAGAAGCTACTGATCTGCCATAAAACCGAATGCCGTTGTCAATACGGTGGTGTGAGAACTTACATGGGCAGTGAGAGTTAAAAAGAAGCGGATTGATGAGAAACCAGCGAGAAATATTCTTTAACAGTGCTGTGTCGGTGAGGGTTGCTAACTGTCTTTTCCCACCTTTCTGGTCCTTTTCTAGACTTGCTGTCACATCTGTTACTAAATGAGTCAAACGTGTCTCCCTATGCACACCTGGAGAGGATTCGACACTGGATGGCGTCAAAACCAATTAAGCAGTTCTGGAAAAACATCTAAGCTAATGGTGGTTTTGAAATACTTACAACATACTGTGCCATATGTACTAACTTTCCCCGTCCTGCGTTTCTATCTGAGCCGATCCCTCACCTTCACAAGAACCGTTCACGCTGTTTCAGAATCCATCTGGAAAACAAAGACACCGTGGTTGTCGAAAGAAGTTTAAATGACTCATCTATGTGCTGATGATAGGCACACTTACACTTGCATACTAAGGTAGATTGATCTAAGTATCTAAAACTCAACCCTCAAGCACTTTCACAGCCTTTGAATGCGATATAATGGCTGGATTGTGTGTTTGCGCACCTTATATATGAAGCTTTTTGCAACGAGGACTGTGCCATCAAATGGTTTCAGTCGTAACCAATTCAAAACGGCATCCAAAACAACACCTTGTTCCTGCAATATATTAATAATCACCCTCTGTGAAGTCCAACAATCCAACCAGAGACTCTCCGCTGCCTTATATATCAAACCCCGAAGCAAAAAAAGTAACACAAAAATAAAGCAAGGCACTAGAATCTTCAGAAAGCTCACCGGGCTTAGGGAAAGATGGAAAGATTCTTTTCTTCAAGTACGTTAATTGAATCCATTTACATTCACATTTATCTAATAATATAAATTAAGTACAAAGGGGAAAAAAGGGTTAAAGTGTCTCCCAATAAGATGAAATAGCTAGCCTTACATCTCATGAACGCTAATATCCAAAACCCTCCAAAATTTCATGTTTTTTTTTTGTCTCTAATGTTGTCCAACAACATTTATAATAATCACAGTGTTTCAACATCAAAAACTGATGAGTAAATACAGGTTCATATAGAACACGACTTCTTATTTGAATGTCTCGATCAAACTATCGTAAGAGGTCCCTAATGCTGCCATGATTAGAAAAAGCTGATAATTAGCCATATATTTAAAGCTTCACGGGCCTCCAAGGTAACCAATCCTGTATCCAAAACCCAATCCAACTGATTTTATCCACCATTTTACAAGTCACCTTGTGGTGTGGCCCGACGAGAAAACCGGAAGAGGACGGTAAGAGTGTGAATATGCATGCTGGGATGCATGTAGGAGCTTTGTAGTACAGGCAGTTGAAAGGCCTCTGAACATGTGACAAAAAAAAGTACTGTCCCTAACATTCTGCTACACAAGGCCGGCTTGAAGGGCATAGGGAAGAAAAACCAACCAACCAAATGAATGAAATCAAACCCTCATTACCCAATTTAAAAACAAAGGAAATCTGTACATGGATTTTGTCCTTTTATCTAATGAAGGCCACTTCCTGTGTTTTAAAATGGGCTTTTTTTTAACCATTGTAATTATTGCATTGTTCCATGGCATTGCAGCAGAGGGTTTAGGGCAAGAGGGGAACTAGGTTCGTCTCTTCGCTGCTCAGTGCTCACAGTCACCCACCCGACCTCCGGTTTTGTTGACATGTTTGATGTATGAATTTATCAGGAGGATATACGGATGGATGCCGGTGGCATTCATTCCATTTTAGGTCAGCAAACCTCTAATCGAACCCCTTGACAAATGTTTGGGGTTGGGTGGTGAAGGATGCCATCACTACACACCTTAACAATAAAAATGGTCACACCTTCTTTGGCCACGTAACATTGCACACAAGTGTCTGTTGTTTTATTTTCATCTTCTCTAATCCCTTGCATCGTTGTGCATCGTTGTGCATCATCCCCGTGGCATATCTGTGAGCATGCATGCAGATTCTGGCATCTTCTTTCTCAACTATCAACTCTTGTGACAGAATCTCTGCAATGCACACAAACGCTTGCCCAATCTGCCCCCGTTCCTTCCCCCAATTCGAGAGTTATTTAGGCCTGGCACGGCTAGGCCCTGCCCTACGTGGTCTTCAGGTTGGGTCCACCCGGGTGGCTGACTGACTTTTGCAAAGTGCTGATGTGGAAGGTCTGTAAAGAGGTGGGAACCTGGGGATACTGTCCCAGGGGTTGCGAGGTGGCCAGCAGACCGGCCTGGGTGTGCGCGACCGAACCAGCCCACTGGGTGCTGTAAGGTGCAGAGGGGTAGCCATACTGCGGCGTGGGACACAAGGAGCCCTTCCGGGCCCCCAGAGAGGTAGCGGGAGTGTTGGGCATGGGCGGGTGGCCGCTCAGAGTTGAAGCGATGCTTGGGCACAGCTGGCCAGGAGCTGAGTACTTGCGGCCCATATTGGTAGGAGGAACCATCTGAGAAGAGAAGAGAAGGAAAAATGTTTATTTAGAGTACGGATTCTCAACTCTGGCCCTCGAGGTCCACTTTTCTGTAGAGCTTTTCTTTAGCTCCAACCTTGATCAAAATCACCTGCCTGTAACTTTCTAGAAGACCTTGATTAGCTTGTTCAGATGTGTTTGATTAGGATTGGAGCTAAACTCTGCAGGAAAGTGGACTTTGAGGGCGTAGAAGTTGAGAACTGTGAAGGACAAATTCTTACTTCGTAGCTGTGGCCCTGAGGAGCCACTTGTTGTTGGTGCTTGGAGCCTCTCTTGCCCTGCGACAGGTTCATAGCGTCCCTGGCCCAGTTGTCCACCAATTTGTGCAGCTCGTCTGTGAACATGCCCTTGCAGCTCTGGGACTGAGAGACGGGCGGCTGGTTTTGATTCTGAACGGTTCCCGCCACCGTGTTGGTGCTGCTTGTCCCTGAGCGGAGAAAAAGACAGGAAGAGAGAATATGATCGTAAAAAGGAAGTCAGTCCAACATGCATCATACTAAAACAGCTGATACAATCTGAAGCCCCACAGACTATATTTATGTGTATATATTTATATACAGTTCCTCACATTAGATTACATAAGCCTTATATAATCTGCAAAATGTTTGATTTAAAAAGAGAGAGTTTTTAAATTTATGATTATATTTTTTTTATTTAGTTCTGCCCTGGTTTGACCTGATTCGAATGATTTTTAGACATGACAGATTTTACTTGACATGTGAGAATCAAAAGCATGATATTTAAAATGCTGCATTCAAAATTACATTTTAACCTGGAAATAAAGAAATCTTTAGTTAAACCAATAAAAGCCTGATTAAAATAAATAAATAAATAGAGCTGCGGTCAGTAAAAGCAAGGCATTTAAAATAAAGAGCATAGAGCAATATATTGAAAACTAAAGGGTTTGAAAATGCTAACAATTATTCAATTTAAGCTGTTATTTTGACATGATTATAATACAATATCTGTTATGCAGGTTCTTCAGGACAACACTGATTTAAAAAAAAAATATATATATATTTTTTTTAATTGAATCTCTTCTAATTTAAATAAAAGCAAAACATATAGCAGATTATATAAAGGGTATGTAAATTTAAGAGCACAACTGTATAATATAATGTCATGTGTATACAAAAAGTCATGGCAGTGAGGCCCTATCGAGCACCTGGTCATCTGCTCTGAGGCTAAAGTGACACTTTTATCACTCTGACCCCAGCCTGCAAAACAGGTCATGAAGACAGAATTAAAACACCATCTCTGGCTTTCCATCGGTGCATAAACCAAGTGCTTTGCATCTGCCTGGGCTTCATTATCATGCTCGCCATGGTTGTTTTTATTGCAACACAAGAGGGAGCAAAAGGGTGGTGAAATGATTCACCATGAGCTCCAGTATTAGATTAAACTGAACTGCAATGTCTCAAAATTCATGGAGGCTAACAATTTGAAATTTTCAACAGCTACTATTCAGAAGCGTATTAAGAGAGTTGATTAGTACCATTAGCTAAACTAGGACAAAAAAACGGTCAATCTTGTTAACACATTAAAGGGGTCATATGATGCAATTTCAAATTTTCCTTTCTCTTTGGAGTGTTACAAGCTATTCGTGAATAGATAAGATCCCTAAAGTTGCAAAGACTAAAGTCTCAAACCCAAAGAGATATTCTTTATAAAAGTTAAGACTCGTCCACGCCCTTCTAAAACACCTCGTTTAAACACGCCCTCACGTCTACGTCACTGTGTGGGAAGATTTGCATAACACCACCCAAAAAGCAAAGAAAGAAGGCGTAACTTTGATTCTCGCTGTAGTATTGTTGCCGCCGCCGCCATGTCGTGTAGATGCTGTGTTTTGTTGTGAAAGCGAAACTACTAAGTCTGGTCTTCCAAAAGAGGACACGACTAGAAATCAGTGGTTAAGTTGT